GATAAATTGCTGATATCTTACCGTAATTGATACGCTCCCCACAGTAGGCTAACTTCAGTGGTGTAGCACGACATGGACATTCACAAGGTTCTACCAACAGGTCAAGAGAGGGACCCTCGTCAGCCTCTTAGCAGCCCCCCTCCTCCTCCCCGCACCGCAAAGGCATCTGCTGTCCTGACTTTTATGCTAATCACAACCTGGCTTCTCTTCTTAGTTTTACCACCTAAACTTGCATCCCTACTACAGCTTTCTAGAGATGGAATCATATAGTATGTGCTTTTGGGGGTCTGGCTTCTTTCATTCAACATTTGAATTGTTGCCCACAATTACGGAGTGAACGCAGGGTGGGAACGGGCTGGAATGCCCATCTTTTAGAGGATCAAATTAACACCTCCACTGATCGTAACCCTATAAAGTTACAGATTATTATCCAAGTTCTTTGGGGGACCTTAGAATCATAATGAGATGCATGAAGTATTTAAGAACTCTAGCGGTTGGTACCCCATCCTCCCAAGAGGAGCAGTCACTGTGCTGTTTATGCCATTCTAGAAAGAAACACTTGTGCCGGTCCCATTTCCAGCGATGCTACCAGAGCTCAAGGCTTTCAGCCAGTCCTGCCCAGAAGTGCCACTTGCAGAGGCAGGAGTTGATGAAATATTTCAAGCTGATGGAGTGGGTTTGCTAGAAAACTCAGAGTTAAAGTAGGTATCTTTTTGATTGGATGTTTGAACATTTAGTATTTTCTTTGCATGTTACCAAGAAGCCCCCATATGAATTTTTATAAATATGAACATTATGATCATAACACTGTATCTTAACGTATTCAAAGGTATGAGGAGTGTTTCTGTGAAAAGAGAAAGCTTTATTTAAAATAAAGTTATTCTCTTAGACAGCTCAATACTGCCTAAGCGAATAACTTGTTCCCAGAATTAGGAACTAAAAACTGTGGTGGGCCTAACATAGAACATTCTTACCCCTCTTCTAATGGTAAGAAGCTTGGTACAGAAAGTATTAATGTAACCAGCTGATTGTCAAATGCTGACAGTGTAATGTATTCTCACATATGCATACGCCTTTTAAAACTTTTTTATTTTTCCCCAGTTTTATTGAGATCTAATTGACATACAGTACTGTAAGTTTAAGGTGTACAGCATAATAATTTGACTTATATATATTGTGAAATGATCGCCACAATAAGTTTAGTTATCCATCATCTCATATAGATACAGAAAAAAAGAAAAAGAAAATGTTTCTTCCCTTTGATGAGAACTCCTAAGATTTACTCTCTTAACTTTCAAGTATACTACATACAGCATTGTCAAAACTACAGTCATCATGTTGTGCATTACATTCCTAGTGCTTATTTATCTTATAGCTGGAAGTTTGTACCTTTTGACCGCCTTTGTACCAGTCCCCCTTCCCCCACCCCACCTATGGGTAACCAAAAATCTAAAGTGACCTCTTTTTCTATGAGTCATTTTTTTTTAAAGTTTCCACATGTTAAGTGGGATTATACAGTACTTATCTTTCTCTGTCTGACTTATTTCACTTAGCATAATGCCTTCACAGTCCATCAATGTTGTTGTAGATGGCAAGATTTCCTTTTTTATAGCAGAATAATATTCCACCATATATATATGAAGAAGTTGATATATACATATATACTTTATTCATGTTAAACACTTAGATTGTTTCCACGTCTTGGCTATTGTAAATAGTAAATAATGCTGCTATGAACATGGGGGTGCAGATATCTCTTCGACATAGTGTTTTTGTTTCCTGCGGATACATTCCCAGAAGTGGAATTGCTGGATCGTATGGAGGTTCTATTTTTAATTTTTTGCGGAAACTCCCACACTGTTTTCCATAGTGGATGCACCAAATTACATTCCCACTGACAGTGTGCAAGGGTTCCCTTTTCTCCGCACCCTCTCCAGCATTTGTTATCTCTTGTCTTTTTGATCGTAGCCATTCTAACACATGTGGAGGTGATATCTTATTATGGTTTTGATTTGCATTTCCCTGATGATTAGTGATGTTCTGCACCTTTTCATGTACTTGTTGGCTATTCATATATCTTCTTTGGAAGAATGTCCATTCCTGTGCTCTGTCCATTTTTAAATTAGAGTATTTGGTTTTTTGCTATTAAGTTGTACGGGTTCTTTATGTATTTTGGATATTAACCACTTATCAGATATGTGGTTTGAAAATACTTTTTTCCCATCCCATAGGTTATCTTGTCATTTTGTCGATGGTTCCCTTTACTGTGCAGAGCTTTTTAGTTTGATATAGTCCCGCTTGTTTATTTTTGATTTTGTTGCTTGTGCTTTAGGTGTCATATTCAAAATGAAGTCATTGCTAAGACTCATGTCAAGGAGCTTTGTCCCTATATTTTCTTCTAGGAGTTTAATGGTTTTCAGTCTTAAACATTTAAGTCTTTAATACATTTTGAGTTAATTTTTGTGATTGATGTAAGGTAGGGGTCTAGTTTCATTACACATAAGCCTTTCATTGGTGTTTCTAGATGTATACTCTGGCTTTCTGTGCCTATAGATGTAACTGTGCTTATTTATCCTCACTGAATATTTTACTCTCTCTTTTCCTGACGTCTTTATGTATATACTTGCATTCTGTTTTTTCCTTATTCACACAGCTTCACGTACATCAGTCCTTTTGACAGTAATGGAGGCAGATACTGCTGTGAGTTCTACTGTTACCATCAGCTCCAGCAAGGCTGAGTGGGAAGGTGGCTGCAGAGAGAGTACAACATGTTCTCTTGGGATGGGCCTTGGGTCTGTGTGTGGCTACCAAGAGGGCTAATGGAATGGGAACCGTCCAGAATTTGGATCACTAGTGACCTGCCCAGGACTAGGGACCATCCTCTGCAGGCAGCTGTAGGACTGGCAGTGGTGACAGGGATAGAGCTCCTTCTTGTCCCTTGACTGTCGTTCTGGAGATGTTCATCCCCCAAGAGAATTAAAAGCCAGCTTTGTGGAACTGTGGCAAGATAAAGTCACATTTTGCAAGGGCTTGAAAGGGATAGAAGAGCTGATGTTTGTGTCTATATATTCTTTTTTGCATGTAAGTGTGGATACAGAGAAATTAGCTTACGGTAGCAATTTTGAAATACGTGCCTTCATATACAGTAACTCTATTAAAAAAAAACTCTACCGACATTTTTTTGGCTGATGCCAGAGATTCTATTTATTGATTGACTTCCTTTTCCCACCAAGAGTATCTTGCCACGCTAACCATTGTACGATCCATTTTTGTATTATATGAAGTCAATTTAAAAATTAACTAAAGTCATAGTGAAAAAGAAGATAATATGTATTCAGAAACCAATTATTCATGATTTCAAAAATCATCCAGGGGCTTCCCTGGTGGCACAGTGGTTGAGAGTCCGCCTGCCGATGCAGGGGACACGGGTTCGTGCCCCGGTCCGGGAAGATCCCACATGCCGCGGAGTGGCTGGGCTCGTGAGCCATGGCCGCTGAGCCTGTGCATCCGGAGTCTGTGCTCCGCAATGGGAGAGGCCACAACAGTGAGAGGCCCGCGTACCACACACACACAAAAAAATCATCCAAGTTTACCTACCCACTGCCTCTTCTCTTTAAGGCAGTAGGATCCATAACAAACTTAAAATTCTAGCAGAGTTGCAGTCTCCCTCTCAGCACTGTTATGACAGCCTTCTGCTGTTATTGCTTGGGGGTCTGCTCAGATATTCAATTACATTTTGATATTTTTCCAAGCAAAACATAATTTAAGACAAATGTACTACCACCCCAATCACATATATTAAAGCAAAATAAAAATTATTTAGAGATTTCCCATATTGCTGCTCCCTTCCATTAGTACTAATAATTGAGAACAGACTGTGTACGTGAAATCAGCTTTCAGCCATTTGTCCAGAGCCAGTAGTAATAGCAACTAGGGGTCAACATTAAGGACTGTTGATTGTATCAGGCTTTCTGTAGGCAAGTGGGTGAAGTTTGAGTACTTCTTGATAGCCAGACATGCATGGTTCTTCATATTTGGAGACATAACTGCACATGTGCTCTGTGTTTACTTCTCTGTCTTGGCAATTAGACTTGACTTGGTTATAATGCTTATGTCAGGTGTCATATGCTTCACTCTTCCTTGAGTGTATGTGTGTATACAACCATGGTTTGCAAGACTAGTATTGAAACAAAAAGTTTGAAGCTGAATAGTCAAATAAGGAAGGCATTTATAACAGATTTCATTACACTGGGAAGGTGAGAACCGTCTGCTGTATTTAAATGTGCTCTCATCTTTATAAAGCACTTTCTGAAAACACATTTTAAATCCTTATCCTTAAGACTTCCCTTCTTTTGTGTGTTCCTAAGCACTATTGAGGGTATTTAGACAATTGGAGCTTATACCAATGATCCGCTGAATGAGTCTATATTGAATGGAGTTTAATTGCAAACATCTATTTCTGATAAGTGTCCCATTCAGTCTTCATAGAGGCCAGCATTTGTTACAGGTTTCAGAGAGAAAAATCTCTATATCGAGCCATACCCACAGTGCTCTGGAGTGTACTTTACACCACTACAATTCTTAATTCCTTCTTTACTCTCATATCTGTGGACTGAAAAAGCTAAGCATGGAGATAACACTTTCCTATCCTGCAGGCAGAAATGTGTGAAAAGATGAAGGGGATTTAACCTTTCAAGTCTACCGCTTCTAATCATTGCAGCTCAGAAAATTCCATAAAGCACTTTTCAGTGAACTGTTCACAATATTAGAATTTCTTTTCCTTTGCAGACCCTTCATGTGGCCTTTGTAAATATGCGTTTGAGACAGAGAGAGGTATGTAGCAGCTGAAAAAAAATGCCTGGAAGATTTCTGTCCCTTCTCTTCCTGCCCATTTGCATCTCTGCCTGATTCGAATGATGTGATATTTGGAGAGACAGCTTCATCGAAGTCGTCCTTCAAGGAGACCCGTCTGGCCCAAGACTGGACGTACAGAATTCAGGATGGCCAGTCAGCTGCCAGAGGATGCCGCTGAGTCTCAGGTCTCGGACGAGCTGGAGTGTAAGATCTGTTACAACCGGTACAACCTGAGACAGAGGAAACCCAAAGTGCTGGAGTGCTGTCACAGGGTGTGTGCCAAATGTCTCTACAAGATCATAGACTTCGGGGACTCCCCGCGCGGCGTCATCGTCTGCCCTTTCTGCAGGTTCGAGACATGCCTGCCGGATGACGAAGTCAGCAGCCTGCCCGATGACAGCAACATCCTCGTGAACTTGACTTGTGGCGGCAAAGGCAAGAAGTGCCTGCCCGAGAACCCCACGGAGCTGCTGCTGACCCCCAAGCGGCTGGCCTCGCTGGTCAGCCCTTCCCACGCGTCCTCCAACTGCCTGGTCATCACGATCATGGAGGTGCAGAGGGAGAGCTCACCGCCGCTCAGCTCCACGCCCGTGGTCGAGTTCTACAGGCCCTCCAGCTTCGACTCGGCGACCAGCATGTCGCACAACTGGACCGTGTGGAACTGCACGTCCCTGCTCTTTCAGACGTCCGTGCGGGTGTTGGCATGGTTGCTGGGTTTGCTGTACTTCAGCTCCTTGCCCTTGGGCATCTACTTACTGGTATCCAAGAAGGTCACCCTCGGGGTGGTCTTCGTCAGCCTCGTCCCTTCCAGCCTCGTCATCCTGATGGTATATGGCTTCTGCCAGTGCGTCTGTCACGAATTCCTAGACTGTTTGGCACCGTCCTCTTAACCGAGACACACGCTCAGAATTCGACACACGTTGCCATGTTTCAAGTGAGGTCATTTAGCCCATCTTTTCTCGCGCATTCTCCGTGATCGGTGCCCATGGCGTGAACAAAGCCACTGGGCATGTATTTGTGGTCCGTTTTCCATCAAAGTGTTGACTCAGTTGGTTCCCCTGTGTGCTGGAAGTAAAGATGTTCGTTGCTGCTTACGTGTTAGCAAAAAAGAAAAAGGGATCAGCTAAGCCTTCCTAGAGCCCTCCTGAGTCTTCCCAGAGAAAGGGCAAGTTCTGCTCAGAGCTGCTAGACAGACACCAGGGCCAGGCGTGTTATGCTGCCGTAGGGGTCTTTGTGGACAGTTAGGCATGAACTGATTGCTCTTCTCATAATCTTAGCCGGGGATGAAGGGTGGTCCAAGAGGAGAGCAGCCCCGAGGCACACCTGTTTGCTCAGTGCTCAGCCCCTGCCCCTGTCCCATTGTTGGCGCTTCTGTGGATCCTCTTCAGCCCGGATGCTGGTTCCCTCTGCGCATGCTCCTTGCCAAGAGGACCCTCGCCTCTTGTGTGGTTTCAGTTATGTACCTGTTTTGCCACATTACTAAAGAGAATTAAAAACATCGAGGAATTTGCATTAGAGTAAACTTCAAGGCGGAATGTGGCCGCTTGTTTTTGAGACACACCCTTTCCTCCACGTTTATTTTCCACCCTCCAGCCTTCTCTGAAATTCTCTCAGAGCAGTTATCGTTCACAGAGATATGATTTGAGCTTTTCCTTAAAGCATTTCTGTTTAGTTTCTTTTTTTTTAAACCACGTTGTTCAGTCAGCCCCATCCCTTATCCTGAGTGAGGTTCCGTTTAAATTAGTTGCTATAACTTTATGTGGGTTTTGTTTTTTTCCCATTGTATTTTTTTTTTTTTTTTTTTTTTTTATCTTTATTGGGGTATAATTGCTTTACAATGGTGTGTTAGTTTCTGCTTTATAAC